GAAGGGTATATATACCTGAACCCAAGTGATAATTAACCTTTAGTCGAACCCATTATGGAGCAAGACAGCGAAATGCAGCAAGTAATAGAGGAAGCGATGGAGTATGAGAGCCAGAGTCTTAAAGAGTGGAGGTTGGTAGCCGAAGCTTTGAGGATTCGGTATAATATGTCACGGAGGATGTGGCACCTATTAGAGGACGCCATGGAACGAGACTTGGAGCGTCTAAGAGAACTGAGTGTGGAAGTTCGCGGTCGGACGGTCATCTCAGCCTCGCCGGAAAGAGAAGACGATGGACCGGATACGGATTCGGGCAGAGGGACACCAGCATCAGCAGCAGCATGAGACGACGGGCCGAGTCCAGGGGCGTATAGGCCGTATCAGTCTGGGAGGATAGGATGAGACGCCTTCCCCTTATCCACGACTGGGTAACAAAAAACGTGTCCGAGGCCTCAAAAAGGCAAGCCCGCTACTACAATTGAGGGAAATCAGACCGCGAGTTCCTAGTTGGAGACCTGGTCCTCCGGAGAAATCGAGTCCTTTCGTCCGCTTCCCAAAACGTCGCCGCGAAACTGTCCCCGAAATACCGAGGTCCTTACACCATCACCAAAAAGATTTGCCCCGTGGTCTATGAGATCCACGTCTCCTTAAAGAAAAAGTGGCCTAAAGTCCATGTGAAGGACCTGAAGCCCTATACCTCCCCTATGGAAATCCCCGAGGACCCAATTCGCACGAGAGACCCCGACCCCGAGACTGAAGACACTGTTATAAAAGAATCGCTCCCTACGCCATTGCCTCCCATAGTTGAAGAACCTGAAAATCCCGATCCACCTGAATTCCTATCCAGCCCTCCCACTCCCGCTGCACCAGCGCCAGGGAAAAGGCCAAGAGGACGCCCGCGCGGCAGCAAAACCTCCCGTGGTCCCCTAAGAAATGAAGCCCTTCCACAACAGCATTACGCCCTTAGAACCAGAACCCGCAATATACCACACGTGCGGCCCTAATCGCGATTACACAATGCAAGTAATAGTAGTTTGCTTTTGCGTAAATAGTGAATGTAGTTTTGACTCCCTTTCCTCCGTAGAGTAGAATAAAGCGAATAACGGGTGCTACACGGAGTTAGTAGCTGGGGAAAGAACCACACCCCCCCCCCCC